CTTTGTCAGATCACACCTGAAATACTGTGTTCAGTTTTTAGTGCCACTGTATTATAAGGACATCAGTAAAGCAGCAATTAGGAAGGTACAGGTCCTTATCCATATGCCAGTAGGTAGAAGAAATAGCCCAGAAAAGACCCCTGGAGACGTATGATAGCTGTGTCCAAGTATTTCAAGGCTTGCAGGTGGAAATGGATTAAATTCATTTTATTTTCATCCATAGGGTACAAATAGCAAAGAGGCAAATTTAGGTGTGAAGTCAGGGGAAAACAATTTCCTAACAATATGAGCTATCCAAAAATAGAGTGGCCTGCCACAGTAGATTTCCCTTCATTGAAGGTCCTCAAGCAGAGAGTGAAGAACTACTTGATAATATATTGAGGTTTCATTTCAGGGATGGTTGGGCAAGCCCAGCCACTTAGGTCTCTTCCAATTATAAAAGATCTTGTGGTTATATGTGGTGAATGTAGGCAAGTTGACTTACCTTTCTAGACTCAATTTTCTAATATGAAATGCAGGGTTTTTGTTTTAGTTTGGTTTGGTTTGTAGAAAAGTACATTTTCAACTAAAAAATCATATATAAAAAGCTAGAGTTGGGGAGCCAGTACGTAATTCATTATTCAAGGAGTGTAATGCTAAGACTGAGTAGAACTGAGAATGATTCATCCATACTTGAGTGTGACTACTCTGTTTTAGCCTGAACAAATGCCTTCAAATATCTGTGTAAATGAATGGATTGATAGACTGACAGGAATAGACACTTTTGCATTTTTAAAAACTTGCCTAAAATAGGTCATTATTGACTTTGGCCTCTATGAGTTTGCATTAACCACTTGAAAGTAGTAGCTATTTGAAGGAAGACGCTTGATGTTTCCTTTGGGCTATTTATAGTACTTAACAGTAAGTGTGCTTAATAGAGGTTAAAAAGTAATCATACTAATCTAAGTGAAAATCTGCTGAGTACTATGTAACTCCATTAAGAATCTCAATTCTCTGCAGAATAAAAATGCAATAAATATTTTTGAGTGCACAGTTATGTTCTTTGTGTTTCAGCAATGATGCTGTTTCAGTTGGAGAAACTGAGGTTTAATTATATTGGTTTAATAGAAAGTGTCTACTGTAGGGGAAAAAGTTAAATATATTTTGAAGATTATAACTGTCCAATTTCTTTGGGTACCAATGATTTTTTAATTGCTAAATTTAATGGTCTTTTTTTCAATCTCCTTCCTTCTCAAGCTTTCTGTCGCATTGGCCATCACCTTTTCCTGTATACTCTTGGGTTTTCTTGACATATCACCCCACCCCCACCTCCCAACAATTTCCACTACTCATTTGTATTGATAGGTTTTCAGCCTCATCCCCCTTATATGTGTAGGGGTATCTCAGGGCTCTTTCCTGTGCCACTTTTTCTTCTGTATTCTCTGTGTGTGTGTGTGTGTGTGTGTGTGTGTGTGTGTGTGTGTGTGTGTGTGTGTGTCTGATCTACTCCTTTGTTTTATATAATGAAGATTTCCCTCTTTCAGCAAGTATTTTTTAAGTGCCTGCTATCTTCTGGTCTTTATGATATGCGCTGGGGGATACAAAGACAAAAAAACAAATAACCCTGACCCACAGAGAGCTTTCATTTTTTATTTGTATCTTAGCCATGTGACCCACGGGCAAGTGGTCTCTGCCTTAGTCTGCCTTAGTTTCCTCAACTATAAAAAGGAGCTGATAATAGTTGCTGTTCAGTTGTTTCAGTGGTGTCTGACTCCTGACCACATTTGGGCTTTTCTTGGCAAAGATATTGGTATGGCTTGCCATTTCCTTCTCCAGTTCATTTTACACTTGAGGAAACTGAGGCAAACAGGGTGAAGTGACTTGCCCAAAGTCACACAGCTAGTAAGGGCTTGAGGCCAGATTTGAACTCAGGAAGATGAGTGTTCCTGACTTCCAGGTTGGCTCTCTATCCACTGTACCCACCTCTCAAATGAAATAATGTTTGTAAAGCACTTAGCACAGTATAGGTGCTTAATAAATGCTTCTTCCTTCCCTTTCCTTTCTGATATTTAAAATGTCAGCAGTCCGGCTTTTTATCTCTTCAGACTTATTTCTTCTTTGTGTATTTTGATATTTCGACCAAATTGGCCTGCGTCTTGTTTCCTGTACATGGTATCTGATTTCTCACCTCTGTTTTTGCACAAGCTGTCTCTCCTTACCCTGGCATGGCTCCCACAGTTCAATTCAGGTGGTGCTGTGAAGGCAAGGCTGAGGTAGATAGTTTCTGAAGTCTGAAGGCCCCCTAACTCCTAATTTGTCTGTCATCCCATATATGAGCCTTTCCTCATCTTTTACGTCGTTGGTATTACTGCCCATCCTTGGAAATTACCTCAAGTATTTATTTTTATCTAGCTTTTGTATTAACCGTTAGTGCATTTAGTCTCCTGTCGGGGGAGGGAGAGTTAGGTTGTAGGCTCCTTGAGGTCATGTTTTCTCTTTAATCTGTGTATCTCTGGTGCCTAGCCATGGCACTTTGGATACAGTAATGTGTCTTTGTAGAATTGAATTGAGTTGAATTTACCTTTTAATTTAATTTCTCTAATGGTACTTGTCATCAGAAATACTATATTAAAACCAAGGTGATTGAGGTTGTAGGTGAGAATTCTCAATTCAGATGTAATATTTTATTGTTCTGGACATCAGCTTCAATGTTTTCATGCCAGGAAGCCAAATATGTACCAGGCACAGTTGTCATGTTTGGTTCCGTTCAACAAGTATTGAATTCTTGTTTGATGTTTAGCACTTTTAGGCTGTGGGGGATGTGAGTCTGAATATTGAACCTGCAGTGGACATGGGGATACAAGATGGTTGCCAGTTAAGCTGCCGTTGTACAATATCCATTTTAAAATACTTTGTGAATTTTTGTTTATTTGCATCTGTATAAGTTTGATGTGCTATAGTAGAAAGTTTACTAGATTGGGTGGCAGGAAACTCAGATTGTTGGTGATAATTATAATATTGATATTCATAAAAATCCCTAGCTCTTCTTTGGCACTTTAAGATTTGTCAAGTTCTTGTCTGTTCTGCTAGTTGGGTGCCCTGGAGCTTCCATCAACTTAGCCTATTTGGTGTCCTCCCTTTTCTCTCATCCCTGTGTTAAAGTTCATGTAGATAATTTCCGATGTTCCTGCCTCCTCTGAGATTTTAAGTATTTTTAAAACCTTTTCTTTTTTACTTATTTTTGTTGTTTGGTAGTTTCAGTCATGTTTGACTCTTTATGACCCCATTTAGGATTTTCTTGGCAGAGAAACTGGAGTGGTTTGCCTCTAGCTCATTTTATCGATGAAAAACTGAGGCAAATAGGGTTAAGACTTGACTAAGATCACATCGCTAGTTAAGTATCTGAGGACAGATTTGCACTCAGGAAGATGAGTCTTCTGACTTCAAGCTTGGCATTCTGTCTAATATCTTCAATTAATTGTGCTTTTGAAATCTATAGATTTTTACTGAAATGGGCCATCTTCCCATTACAATAAAATTTCAGTTAACCTGTTTTAAGAAACATAAAATTCAGCAGTTATGCATGGAGATGGATCTTTTTTTCCCCCCTAAATATTTACCTTCTTTCCTTTTTGATGTAATTTTCTGGCAGAGCACATCAGAAGAGATTCTAGAGAAGGCTATGTAATGGAAAAGTGAACCTTAAGTTTCACCATCATTGTTTTTCTGTCTGTTCTTACTGTTGCCTCTTGCTTGTATAAATCTAATCATTGTTAATCTAATTATGATTGTGTACAGGATTGGTTAATAGGATTCTAAAATAGTTTAATCTCCATATTTGTATGGAAGTTATAATGTCTGCACACTGTATTGATTACTAGGTAGTTTCAAAGAGAAATTCAGACAGTCGACTTTGATCTGTATAACACTTGGTGGTTTAGGAGTTGGCTGTCTCAGAGATTGCATCTATCTTAATGAGCCTCTATGGTGGTTGAGAGTCATCTGTTATATGTTAGCCTGGAAATCTTCTGGAGAGGGACCACAGCTTGGAGCTTGCTCCTGCTGGTCTAAGAGTCTGTTTCTGTTTTCTTCCACATCATAACACAGGGCCCGTTTTTGCTTGGGCTCTTTTTTTTCCCCTTTGCTTGAATGGCAATATTATGAGCCACTCCTACTGAGCATTGTGAATGAGCTCCAAGGGTGTTCTGCAACATGCCCTTGCAATATACACTAAGAAATAGTTGTCTTATTGTGGGCAGACAAAATCAATCACATCACTCATGTCACACAGACAGACAGACAGACAGACACACACACACCCACACCCACACACACACACACTCTGCTCAGTTAGGTTATCTCCATCTGCCATAGTATGTGTTAGCATTTGTCTTTATATTGAATTTCTTTTTATGGGGCTTTTAATGTTGTTTGTTCCAATCATGCTGTAATTGCTTATGTGCTGCTTTTGGGCACCTTGGGCATGGGGAGTGACTTCATAAGTATTAGTTCCCTTAGGATACATTCAGTTGCTATTCTGACTTACTATCTAGCAAGAACTAAACTTTTTGTTCTCTCTGTGGACACTGGAATAATCTGCCTCATTGCTTTGACATTTTTGTTTTAGTTTCTGTACTTACATAGATGGGCTACTTTCATTTCAGTTCCTTGAAACAAAGAGGTTCTGCATATATTATTTGAAGACAAATATTTGCTGAATTGAATTGAAGATGCCCTGGGAGCATCTTAAAAATCTTGGTCTTAGTTTTATTTTGTGAAGATTCTGCTTGAAGAAAATTCCCTTCTCAAAATGTTGTTGGCTTTTGTAAATGGTACATTTATTAAAATAATTTAATGCTTAGCATGGTGTTTTCACCATTGCAGAAACTCTTTTATGAATAAAGGACTGAGTGAATATTTCACAAATTTTTCAGCTGATGAGCTTCTCAAGATTCCTTTACCTTGCCAGATCTTGTATCAGCCCTCAAAAATAGTTAATAAATTAGCATTAGTTGGTCTGGATACCATTCTTCAAGTGAGAATTCTGAGGGGACTGCATGGAGGGAGGAAGAACAGCTTCTACCACACATTCTTCATCTTCTTTTCAATGCCGTGTGGTGTGACTCCATAAATCTTCTGGGATTTCCCTGAGGTTCTTGATCTCTACATTTAAAAAAAAATGTATTGGATTAGATCCAATATTCTGTCTAACCAGTGTCTAACAAGGGCACTAAGAGATGTTGGGTTTATATGTGATCTCATTTAATAAGCCTTTCTTGTCTTCCATAATAACCCCTACTTGTGGGTGGCCTTTCTTGTCTTGATCCAGAATCTTGAGATGGTGGGAATTTTTTATGGAAGTTGGCAGGCTCAATAGCAACACCTCTGTAACTGCCTATTACTTTCAAGCGTTGGTTGCTTAATTTCCGGTAATAGTGAAGTATCTAAAAGTATTTTTTTCCTCACCAAAAATTTTGCAGCAGTATGTTAATAATTTGTACTATGAGTTAATAGAAAAAAAAGAAAGAAAAATAACAGCTAGAATTTGTATAGCACTTTAAGATTTGCAGAGTGTTTTATATATGTCTCCTTTGAGCCCCACAACAACCTTTTGAGATGTGTTAATTATCCCCATTTAAAAGATGAGGAAACCTAAAGGAATTAAATGAATTACCCAAACTCACATAGCTAGAAAGTATCTGAGGTCAGATTTGAACTCATATCTTCCTGACTCTGTGTGTAGTACTTAACCACTATCTCACCTAGATATGTTTTTTTAACTTAAAATTTTAGAGACTTTTACAAATTGAATAAGTTTCACAAGTTGTTTCAATTGAGTTGCTGGGCACTTAAGCAGGTCCTGAGTCTTCCATCAAAGGTCCCTTCGCTTGCCTTTAAATAGTTTAAATATGACCTTGAGTTCTGTTTCAAGGGGAGAAAAGTAGTAACCAATTCTAGCAAGTTAGAAGCATCTTCTGTACCAACTTGGAGAAAGACTAAGTGCTTCTTTCAGGACCAGTTCGTCATCAGAAGATGATGGCCTTTTGGCTTGTGCTTCATGACAAAGTACCAAAAGAGTTTACTTGTGGGTCCCCCTTTCCACTTCCAAGTATGGTTTAGTAAGGGATGGTGGTGGTGAATTCCCAGGAAAGAGGCTGTAGTGTTCAAACTCCACCTCTGCTGATTTGGTGTGAGACTTTTGTGTTGCTTCAAGGTTTACAAACTCCTTTTCCCACAGTTCTGTGTGGTAAGAAGAGAAATAGGGACTTAGGACACAGCCCTTCCCTTGAGGGCATTAGGACAAAAGTGGAGAAGGGAGGGATAGTGAAAACTTTTGGAAAAGAGAATTCTGGATCTGTAGATGAAAGACTTCAGAGACTTAGAAACTACTTAGAAACCTCGTGCCTGTACGTCATGAATGCTTTTTGAAGAGAGGCAGAGAGCATGGGTTTTGGCAAGCACTAAACAGTAAGATAGAAAATGAGATTAAATGACTGTATCTTAACAGACAGGAAGTGGCTTGTTAGAAACACATCAGTCACTTCAGAGTTAACCCTTTATGTGTAGTCACTTCGTTGGTTAGTGAAGAGATCACAGTAAATATCAAATTGAGAAAAAGGATAATGAGGAGGACGCACTTTGCTAGGCCGTACATAGCTCCCTTCCAGTGTGACTAAGCTGTGAGATGTGGAAAAAGAGGGAAATGGGTGAAAGTAAAGGTCATAACATGATCACCGTAACTCAGAGAAAATTAACAGATGCAAATGTATTGCTGTAGTACAGTGGCTTTAAAGAGGCTGGAAATTACTTCAGTAAATGACTTCTACTTCTCGAACACTGTGACATTGAAACCAAGGACAACACTGCCACAGACAAGATCTTTTGCCCTTCACCTCCCAATGACAAAGTAGGCTAATGGAAGATTGTAAACTCAGTCACTTACTCTCTCACTCTCTTATCTGTCTGTCTGTCTGTGTGTGTATGCATGCATGTATGTATGTGTCTATGTATGTATGTATGTATCTATCTATCTATCTATCTCCCTCTCTATATCATTTTAAGGCTATCAGACTACTTGAGAGGTAGGGAATTTAGGTATTTTTTATCCTCATTTGGCAGATGAAGAAACTGAGACCAGAAGAGGGATTGAGTGACTTTCCCTGGGTCACATGTCTAATCATTGTTGGAAAAGATACTTGGATCTAGCTTAATGATCCCACTTCCTGTGCCTTTCTTTCTATATCACTTCTTTCTTCAAGCTGATAGGCTATGTTTTCTTTGTAGAAGTCTATAGCCCAAAGGCTTCTGTTGTGCTGCAAAGCATTAGTGTTGTGATAATGTCCTTAGTATGGTGTCTGTTGACTCCCTCATCTTCCTTGAATTGACTAGATTGGAATTTGGGAGTCTTCTTAATCCTCCTAGAAATCATAACCTTATTATAGTTAAAGAGGAGCGCTCTTAGTTTTCTAAAAATGTCATCTCCCTCAGGTATATGGCCACATTATCATTGATTCCTTTGGCAAACAATTAAATACCTAACCAAAAACTTTGTGCTTTTATCATTTTATTGATATTGAATTTCTTCATTTTTTTGTTTCTTTATAGCTATAAAAGGTAAGTGGGATTGAGTCTGAGCTTTCTCTGACTGGTAGAGGGAGTTCTTTTGGCCAGAAACTCTCTTTAAACAAGTTGCTTGTAAAATAACAAATGTTTCTAACATTTATTTATAGCCAAAATGAAAGTTTAGATCAGGGGTAGAGAACCTTGGGCCTCAAGGCCGCATGTGGCCCTCTAGGTCCTCAACTGTGGCACTTTGATTGAATCTAATATTCCCAGAACAAATCCCCTTAATAAAATTAGTTATGTAAAACTTGGACTCAGTCAAAAAGTGGAACCCAAGGACCTAGAGGGCCACGTGTGACCTCAAGGTTGCAGGTTCCCCACCCCTTGTTTAGAACATTTTCTTTGATATTTGTGGTTGAAGGGAAAAAAAAAACCAACCATTTAGAGAGCTAGGTGTGAGATCCAATATAGATCAGCCAAAAAGTATAGATCACACAAAAAGCAATTGTGAATGCAACCAGAAAGATGACAACAAGCAGATGAGAAATGAAACAGATTTGGTGAGTTTTCTATAGTGATCTTCTCATTAATGAGAATATTTATACCACCATGTTTAGACTTTACCATCTCAGTACCTGAAGTACTATGTGAGGAACTGGCAGTGAGGCTAGCATGAAATTAGGAAGACAAGCTGAATTTGATTAAATATACAGAAGACATTTCAAACAAATCTTTCATGCTATTTCCTAACTGCTGGAGAAGAAACAGGTAGACAGATAGAAGCAGAACCAGGAAAGATCAGTATAACAAAAACCTAGAGAGGAGGGAGTATTCAGGAGAAGAGGGTAATCAATAGTGTCAAATGCAACAGATTCAAGATGGTTGAAGATTGGAAAAAAGGCTACTGATTTTGGCAATTACGAGATCATTAGAGAGTAGTTTCAGTTGAATAACTAGGTTGGAAGCCAGATTCAGAGAGTTTAGAGTACAGTAAAAGCAGAGGAAGTAGAGACACCATGTATAGATGGTTTTCTCCAGGACTTTAACTGAGAAAGGAGGGGAGAGGTATGGGAAGATAGATGCCAAGAATTTTAGGATCCAGTAAAGGGTTTTTAAATATGTGGGAGACATGCTCCTAATTTTTCCTTGTTGACAGAAGTTTCCTGTGGAGATAACAATGGCAAATCCAAGAATGTATTTTGCCAAGTCAAGTCAAGAAGCCTTTAATAAGTTGCCTCTATGTTCTAAGTGCTGTGTTAAGAGCTGCAGATACAAAGAAATACACCTGTCCTTGCTCACAGGGAGCTCTTACTCCAATGGGAAAGACAACATAACTGAGGCAGAAGACAGTAGCATTAAAGAAGAGCAGAAAAGAATGATGAGATACAAAAGATGAGAGTTTGGTTGAGAACTGGAGGAAGCCAGGGAAACCAGGAAGCGTTGATTAAAAGGGAGGGAATTGTAACCATAGGAAGGGAGATGCCAGAGCCAGATCAATAGATAGCCAGTGAAAATTCATGGAAGAGGAAAATGGAATCTTGTTCAAGGAGCAGCAAGGAAGCCAGTACCACTGCATCTCAGAGTACATGGTGGGGAGAGCAGTGTAAGAAGATTGAAAATGTAAGAAGAGTCCTGCTTAGAAGGGGCTTTAAAAGCCCACCAGCATTTTATATTAGATTTTAGGCAGAATAGGGAAGGCCCTATTACTAAAAATATGGATAGGAAGATGAGATGGTCAGACCTATGTTTTAGGAATTCTGTCAGCCAGTCATTAATTATTTAAGCACCTATTATGTGCCAGGCATCATTTGCCAAACATACAAAAAGAGGCAAGAGACAATCATTGCCCTCAAGGAACTCACAATCTGGATAGATGAGACAAACAAATATGCACCAACAAGCTATATATGGGACAGATGGGAAATAGTTAAAAGAGAAAAGGTACCAGGATTAAGACAAGATGGGAAAGTGTTTCTGGAGAAGGTGGCTTTTTGAAGAAAGCCAGAGAAACTTAAGTGGGTAGAGTTGAGGATATGGAGAGTGTTCCGGAAATGGGTGATAGCCAGGGAGAATGCCCAGAGCGATGAGGTAGAATATCTTATTTATGGAAGCAAGGAAGATCACTTTGGTGACTGAGTGGAGAATGAACTGTATTTTAAGTAGGGAGAGCCAGTATCAGGTTATTGTAATCAGCAGTCCAGGTGTGCAGTGATGAGGGCTTGTAAACATCGTGGTGAAAGTGACAGAGGAGAGAAGTGTGTGTGTTCGAAAGATGTTACTAGGGTAGAATGGGCAAGATTTGGCAACTCATTGGGTTTGGGGTGTGGTGAGAGAGAAGGAAGGCTTTAGGGAGACACTAGTTTATAATCTAGGATGACTGAGAGAATAGTGGTGAACAAAATAGTAATAGGAAAATGAAGAATAGGGGAGAGTTTCCATTAAACAGAACACTAATCAGCCTGGATATACTTGGCCCTCACAAACTCCCTCCAAAACCTTACCCCTCATGTCTCTAAAAGTGAATAATATGATTTCTTTTTCATAGGGTTAATGGGAATGTGAGGAGCACATCAAAATATGGATTTTGTACTGTGAACTTA